GGGGGACGGGTTGGGAACCCCCAGTGCCCCCCCCCCCCGGTTTTCCGCCGGCAACGGTAGAACACGCCCTTTCATTCATACGTACGTACGTACGTACATACATACATACATACATACATACATACATGCATGCATGCATACATACATACATACGTACATAATACATACATACATACATACATACATACATACATACATACATACATACATACATACATACACGTGCATACACATGCATACACATGCATACACATACATACACATACATACATACATACATACATGCATACATACACACACACGTACATACATACATACATACATACATACATACATACATACATACATACATGCATGCATGCATGCATGCATACATACATGCATACATATATAATTCCACAAGTACATACATACATACATACATGCATATATACATACATTCATGCACACATACATACATACATACATACATACATACATACATACATACATACACACATACATACATACATGCATGCATACATACATACATACATACAAGCACAACAACAAAGAAACACCCAAACCTACACACATACAAATATACATGCATACATACATGCATACATGCATGCATACATGCATACATGCATGCATACATACATATTGGCATGCATGCACATGTATATATTCATCCATACACATACATACATGTGTATACATATATATATATGTATGCATACGCATATCCGCACATACATACATGCATGCATTAATCTACATACATGCATACATACATACATACATGCACACAAGCATACATACATACATACATACATACATACATACATGCATGCATGCATGCATGCATGCATGCATACATCCATACACACATACATACATACATACATACATACATACATACATACATACATACATACACACACATACATACATACATGCATACATATATACAGACAGACATGCACGCAATTGCGCACACACACATACATACACATATGCATACATCAATACATCTATACATACGAGAGAGCGTGATCCACCGCCGCTTTACTGTGGAAAATTGCCAGCCTTTTCCTCCAGAACCCGGGGGTCGCCTCCCCCCCCCCCCCTCCGAAAATCTCCCCCCCCTGCTGGACCCCCCCCCTCACCCCTCCCCCCTCCTTATTCGCACATCCTCCCCCTCCCCTAACCCAACGCCCCCCCTCATCCCGTCGAAAACCGGGGTGTCACTACCGGTTCGAACCCTCCCCCCCCCCCCCCCCTCCAGAATCTGAAGACAAGGGGGGGGGTCACTACCGGTTCGAACCCCCCCCCCCCCTCGAACTCGAAAACCGAAGGGGGGTCACTACCGGTTCGACCCCCCCCCCACGCACCGCCAGCAAACGACTCCCGGTCCCTACCACCGCTCGCATCACACCTCCCACTGTTGTTCCCAGCACCACTGTCCTCACCACCACTGTCCCCACTGGTTCCACCACCGTCCCTACTGTCCCCACCAGTGCCCCCACCACTGTCGCACTGTCCCCACTGTTCCCACCACTGTTCCCACCACGGTTCCACTCTCCCCACTGTCTCCACGGACCCAACCACTGCCTATCCCCACTGTCCCCACTGTCCCACTGACTCCTCCGCTGTCCCACTGAGCTGTCCCACTGTTCCCACCACTGTCCCCACTGTCCCCACCACTGTCCCCACTGTACCTCTGTCCCATTGTCCCACCGCCGTCCTCGCCACCGCCTTCACCACTGTCCCCACCACCATTGTACCCTCCACTATCCCACTGTTTCCACCTCATTCCCACTGTCCCCACACCACTGTCCCCACCACCACCGTCCCCACCACTGTCCACTGTCCCCCCCGTTCCCACCATTGTCCCCACCACTGTCCCCACCACTACCGTCCCCACCACTGTCCCACTGTCCCACTGTCCCCACCACTGTCCCGCTGTCCCCTCACCACTGTCCCCACCAACACCGTCCCCACCACTGTCCGCACCCCCACTCGGTTTTCGAGGGGGGGGGGGGGTTCGAACCGGTAGTGACCCCCCCCCCTTTTCAGGATGAACTGGGGGGGGGGGGGAGGGGTTCGAACCGGTAGTGACCGCCCCCCGTTTTCCGGAGGGGGGGGGGGAGGGGTTCGAACCAGTAGTGACCCCCCCCGGTTTTCCGCCAGCAGCGGTAGAACACGCTCTTTCATACATACAGACACACATACCGACACCCACACATATGCGTACGTACATACCCCCACACACACATGCATGCATGCAAGCATACATTCATACATACTTACATGCCTGCATACATACATACATACACGTTCATACACACGCACACACATGCACGCATGCATATACACACATACACGCATGCATACATACATACACACATACCTCATACCTACATATCAATACATGTATGCATGCATACATACATACATGCATGTCTGCATTATAGCGAAACGTATTCCCAAGCGAAATACGTCTGGTGGTGCGACGAGAAACAGCTACTCCTAAGGAAGAAGGATGGAGGCGGAGGTATGAACAAGAGGCGGAAGAGGAGGGTGGAGGAAGGGTGGAAGGAGAGATTTGGAAGGGAAGGATGCATAGAGGGAGGGTGAGAAAGGATGGGGAGAGGGAAGGAGGAGAAACGAACATGAGGGGGGGAGGAGCAGGAAGGAAGGATAGCGACGGACTGGAGAGGGGGAAGGGAGGGAAGGGTAAAAGGGGGGAGAAGAGGAGGGTGGGGGAGGGAGGGGGTAAAACATCACCAAAAGAGGGTGGAAGGAACAGGAGGAAGCGGAGAACCCCTCCCCCTCCCCCTCCCCCTCCTCCTCCCCCTCCTCCTCCTCCGCCTCCTCCTGCTCCTCCTCCTCCCCCTCCTCCTCCTCCTCCTCCTCCTCCTCCTCCTCCTCCCCCTCCTCCTCCTCCCCTCTTCCCCCCCTTTCAGCAGGCGGTCGACGTCCCACCAAGTCTTTCGAGTTCATGGTGATGTTCGCCGCTTGCAGACGGGCCGCAATCCTGTTGGACGTGTCCCCCAGGGCCTCTCGGACCTCCTGGGCACAGGCAAAGGCAGGGACCGAGAATGGGGGTGCCGAAGAAGAGGAAGAGGAGGAGGAGGAAGAGGAGGAGGAGGAGGAGGAGGAGGAGGAGGAGGAGGAGGAGGGCACGAAGCTCAGGAGGAGGAGGAGGAGGAGGAGGAGGAGGAGGAGGAGGAGGAGAAGGAGAGGAGCAGCAGCAGCAGCAGCAGCAGCAGCAGCAGCAGCAGCAGCAGCAGCAGCAGCAGCAGCAGCAGCAGCACCAGCAAGGGGAGTCGAGGGAGGAGCCAGGGAGGGCGAAGGAGGCGAGGTGTGGTCCATGGAGCGCGAGGGAGGCTGGCACAGGCGCAGAGGCAGGAGCGGGGACGGGGGGGAGAATCGAAGAAGAAAAAACGCCGTAAACATAAACGTTTGGCGCTCCGTGCGGATTTCTTGGATCTCCCCTGGACCCCCCTCCCTGGCGCGCGGAGCGCGCCGGGGGCGGCGCCGGAGGCGCCGTCGGGGGGGCCGAGCGCGGATCTAAGAAATCCGCGCGGGGCGCCAAGCGTTTTTTCTTCGAGAGAGAAGGGAGGAACGCAAGGGACGGAGGGGGGTGGCGGGGGAGGGGGGAAGGGGGCCGCAGGGGGGGCCAGAGGGACGGAGGGGGAGGGGAAAGGCAAAGGGGAGGCGAGGGACCAGGGACGGGGACAGAGGAAGGGGCAGGCGGAGGGATTGGGACACCAGTTCACGCTGGATTGTGAGCGTTTTCTTATTCGGCGTTTCGACATTGGCGACATTGGGCGGAAGGGGGGGGAAGGACGGGGTTTCGCTCCAGACCTCTGCCTAGTGCGACTGTTTGCAGCAGTGCGTCCTATGGGGGAGACTTCACCTGCTCGAAACAGGCGCCCAAAACCGCCAAGATCTACTCCATAGGGTGGGGGAAGGGACGGGTGCGAGGGCCCGCGCCGATCGGCAAAACAATGAATAAGAAAACGATCACATTCGTAGTTACTTGTCCGGGAAGGTGGTCGGGGGCCGTGCCCCGAGCATTGCGTCGGCTCCAATGCCCGCGCTCATTCAGGATCAGGAAGCTTCCATCTGCCACGAGGCGTCCCGAGGGCTCTTCGCGGAATGCCATGGGGATGCCGTAAGACGCACATCAAAGAGGAAAAGGGGGAAGGAACGAGGAAAGGAAGGAATGAAGAAAAAGGAGGAAGGTGAAGTAATGAAGGGGAAAGTAGACGACTGAACATAATCACGTGGCCTACCACGCCTCTTTAGCACGGCCCAACCTTCCACCTCCAGGCACAAACGCTGGGTCAGATACGACCCGCCCCCCTGGGACTCCTCTGCCCTGGCTAGCAGACAAGACCGACCTTGAGGACCTCGTAATTGAGTCCGAATGGAAGCCCCTTCCCTTTGATCCTCCCCCCCGGAGACTTGGGGTGGTGTCGACCCCCCCCCCGGGTCAGATACGACGCCCCCCCCTGGGACTGCTCTTCCCCTGGGCTCCAGCCAAGCCGACCTTGAGCAACCTCGTAATTGAGTCGAAGGGAAGCCCCTTCCCTTTGATCCCTCCCCCGCCGGGAGGGGGGGGGGGGTCGACCCCCCCCCCGGGTCAGACGCGACGCCCCCCCCTGGGACTCCTCTTCCCCTGGGCTCCAGCCAAGCCGACCTTGAGCAACCTCGTAATTGAGTCGAAGGGAAGCCCCTTCCCTTTGATCCCTCCCCCGCCGGGAGGGGGGGGGGTAGCGACCCCCCCCCCGGGTCAGGTACGACGCCCCCCCCTGGGACTCCTCTTCCCCTGGGCCCCAGCCAAGCCGACCTTGAGCAACCCCTGGGCTCCAGCCGAGCCGACCTTGAGCAACCTCGTAATTGAGTCGAAGGGAAGCCCCTTCCCTTTGATCCCTCCCCCGCCGGGAGGCGAGGGGGGGGTAGCGGGGGGCGGTAGCGACCCCCCCCCCAGGTCAGATACGACGCCCCCCCTGGGGAGCTCCTCTTTCACTGGGCTCCAGCCAAGCCGACCTTGAGCAACCTCGTAATTGAGTCGAAGGGAAGCCCCTTCCCTTTGATCCCTCCCCCGCCGGGTGGGGGGGGGGGGTGTCGACCCCCCCCCCGAGTCAGATACGACGCCCCCCCTGGGACTCCTCTTCCCCTGGGCTCCAGCCAAGCCGACCTTGAGCAACCTCGTAATTGAGTCGAAGGGAAGCCCCTTCCCTTTGATCCCTCCCCCGCCGGGAGGGGGGGGGGGTGTCGACCCCCCCCCCGGGTCAGATACGACGCCCCCCCCTGGGACTCCTCTTCCCCTGGGCTCCAGCCAAGCCGACCTTGAGCAACCTCGTAATTGAGTCGAAGGGAAGCCCCTTCCCTTTCATCCTCCCCCGCCGGGAGGGGGGGGGGGTAGCGGGGACCCCCCCCCCGAGGAGGGGGAGGCCCCGATCGCCTCCCCGGCCCCCGGGTCAGATACGACGCCCCCCCCTGGACTCCTCTTCCCCTGGGCTCCAGCCAAGCCGACCTTGAGCAACCTCGTAATTGATCCCGAAGGGGGGGGGCCGGGGCCCCCCCCCCCGGGTCAGATACGACGCCCCCCCCTGGGACTCCTCTTCCCCTGGGCTCCAGCCAAGCCGACCTTGAGCAACCTCGTAATCTCTTGCTGCGCATTGCGAACAGGGTCGGCGGCACCGGCCGTCAGGCCTTCACAATCACGGGACCTACAACGCCTCTTAGCACGGCCCAACCTCCAGCCTCCAGGCACAAACGCTGCAAACCCAAGCATGGCATCGATCACCCGCTCAGGGAGCACGGCAGGCGACAACAGCGCGACAACTTCACAGATCGCTGCCTGTGAGGGAAGCGCCAACAACAAAAAGAAGAGGAGCGTAGCATCAACAAGGCGGCCACAAGCATTACGGCGCACAACTGCCCTCCATCCCTCAAACACGGTGCACTCCTGGCGCCACGCTCAAATAACAAAGAAGAGCATCGAAGCAACCGGCCGGCCAGTGGCATCACAGCGCACAACTGCCCTCCATCCCTCAAACACGGCGCGCTCCTGGCGCCACGCTCAGATGACGGGGCACTTCTGGCCCCGCCTTTTTCAAGCTGCGAGCGCTCTCCCGGCCTCAGAAAAGGACGCGCCTCCATGGTCGTGCCGCCCCGATCAGCCACCCGAGGGGCACCACTCCCCCAACGTGAGTGCTCACCACCACGCACGCCAGGGCGGGGAGCCCTGGCCGTGGGAAGAATGGGTGAGAACGTGGCGACGATATGAAAGAGTCTCTCCCCCGCCCGCCCCTGCCGAACATCGTAGTTGCCCACGACCATTGGACAGGCATGATCGGGATGACGATCTAGGAGGGATGGGAGAGGCGGGCGTGGAGGGGGGGGGATTGGAAAAGGGTGTGGGAGACGGCAGAGCGGACGGAAGGAATAGCAGCCTTTCGGCAGCCCGTGCGCGCACTCCTTGCTGGTGACCCCCCCGGTGTTGTCGGTGTCGATCATCCTGCGCATCCGAGACGGAGTCACAACTGTCGGAGCTCCCACTCGCCCACCCGACCTCCTCCTCCTCCCCATCCCCCTCCCCCTCCTCCTCCTCCTCCTCCTCCTCCTCCTCCTCCTCCTCCTCCTCCTCCTCCTCCCCTTCCTCCCCTTGCCCACCCGATCTCCTCCCTGGGGCAAGGCTGCGCACAGGCAGCCCCCCCGGTAGTCCCAGCTGGCTTCAACAGGCCCCTCGCGCAGTCCGGGGCGGTCTCAACGCACCCGCCGGAGGCGACGCCAGGGTGGGACCGCCCCGTGCTGCCAGGAAGGCCTGTGGAGGCCAGCGGGGACTATCTGGGGGGGCTGTCTGTGCGCAACCCGAAGCCTTCTCCCTTCTCCTCCGCCTTCTCCTCCCGCCTCGGGCCCCAGCCAGCGTCCTCAGGATGCTCCGGACCTGCTCCGCCAGGGCGTCGCTCTGCGCCTCCTCCTCCTGCAGCTTGTTCTTCTCCTGCTGCCGCTGCTGCGTGATGAGGGCCTGAAGCAAGCGCCCCCTGAATGCCATCAGGTTTAGGAGGCAACTCTGGGGAGGTACTCGTAAAAACGAGAAAAGGGCGACGATTGAAGGGCCACTCCGCCTGATCAGACCAGATTTAGCTTGACTAAGCCAGACTGAACGGAAATGAGCGGAGTTAGCCGGGATTATGCCGGATTCGGCCCTGTTTTAGAGGCCAACCAAGTGAGGTCCGAGTGAATGCGATCGGAGAATCGCGCCGCATCGATAGCGCATCAGTGATACATCTTCGATGTCGGCGACGCGTCAGCGCCGTCGAAGTGGACAAAGTCGGGCTCCACATCGAGCCACATCACTGATGCATCGGCGCTGCGGAGCGATCCTCCGGCCCCGTCTACTCGGACTGCATCTGGGAGGCCTCGATTCCAATCGCATGGACCATCGCGCATCTTCCGCGTCGCGGTTGCGAGGTGCTCCTCCTCATCCTCCATCCCTTCTACTTGTAAATACTTCCATGTCGCACCACGAGACGTGTTGGTAGGGCGGGCCGGGCGTTTCGCCTGAGATTTCGTCACCATTTATGGTTCTGAAGTTGGGAATCCCACCAGCCCTCTGGGCGCAGGTGGTCTAGAGCGTTTCCTTTTCCAGCCTTCTTCCTTTCCCTGCTCGGGAGGTTTCCCTCCCCCCCCTCCCTGGATCTGGACGCGCTCCTCCGCGAGGGGTTAGAGCGTCCAAGATGGCCCAAGATAGCTGCAAGAGGGCTTTAGCTAGCCCAAGATGGCCTCCAAGATCGCCCAAGATACCTCAAGACGGCTCAAGATAGCCTCCAACACGCATCCAAGAGGCCTCAAGACGGCCCCAAGACGGTTTCAAGTGCCCTCCGAGCCCTCCAAGGACCCCCCAAGAGGCCCAAATAGGTTCAAAACCTAAGGGAAAACATGTTTTTGTTGCCTTTTCGTTGTTTCGCTTCCGATGGACTCTTGAGGCGTCAAGATGGCCCCAAGAGAGGCCCAACATAGCCACAAGAGAGGCCCAAGATGGCCCCAAGACGGCCCCAAGAGCGCCCAAGAGCGGTCCAAGAGGGCCCCAAGACGTCCCTTTTGGGCCTCCGAGGGGGGGGGGGGGGCGTAAATTTGAGACTCCCCTTATTTTAAGCGAAAGGGTCCAAGACGGCCCCAAGAGGCCTCCCAGACCCCCCGAAAGAGTCCCAAGAGGGCCCCACAACTCCCCAAAAGAGCCCCAAGAGAGCTTGAAGAGAGCCCCAAGGGGCTCTCAAGAGAGCCACAAGATAGCGCCCAAATGGCACTACGAGTCTTCGAAGAACCCTTCACCACGACATATGCCCAAAACCCGACTTCTCGTCCTCCTTGTCATCGTCCGTTCCTTTCTTGCTTCTTTCCTGCCGCCTCCCTGCTCCTCTTCATCCTCCTCGCGCCGCGTTCCTCCTGCTCCTCCTCCTCCTCCTCCTCATTCCTTTCCTTCTTTTCTGTTGTTTCTCCTCCTCCTTTTCTTCCTCCTCCTCCTCCTCATCCTCCTCCTAGTTACTCCTCCTCTTACCCCCAAAATGGCCCCAGGCATCACCGGCACCAGCAGCACCACTTGCTCCAAGATGGCTCCAAGATGGCAACATAGCGCCACAAGCAGCAACACCAGCGGCATCACCACCACCGCAACCACCACCACCACCACCACCATCACCAGCCCTAGCAGTCGCACGCGAGTTTAAGATAAACTTCAGTGCGGGGGCAGAGATCAAGGATGCATATGGGGATGCGACTCTCAACTGTGCGACAAGGGCGACGAATGATAGATACAGACACCTGCGCCAGAGACGCTTACCACAGGACACCCCAGCGTATCTTGCACCGGTTTCCATCTTAACGTCGCTGCGGGAAGCTATGTGTGATCCTTGTTTCTCATGGACCACGGTGGATGCAGCCACCTGCGCTAGAGACGCTTAATTACCACGGGGAGCGCCACGTCGTATATTGCACCGAATTCCCTCTTAAACTTCACTGCGGAAAGCTATTTGAAATCCCTGTTTTTCTGAAGACGGCCGCGCAACTGCATGCTTCCAGCCGTCGAGCTAAACCGGCGGCGAAGACCGCACCGGTGGGCAAGGAACCAGCGGGGCCAGGCGCGAGCCGTCAGCCCCAGCCGGGCGCGCGCCTGGCAGTATTGGGCGCGAGGCCAAGGCGGCCCCCGGGGGGTGCCGCGGGGAGGGCCGGCGTGGGGGCCAGCGGGCAGCGGCGGGGTGGGAAGAGGGCGGGGGCGACGCCCCAGCCCACGCGGCGCAGGGCACGGACGCGACCCGCGCTCGTGGGAGAGCGCGAGGAGGGGGGGGGAAGCGCGCGGAGCGCGGGAGACCGGCAGGAGAGCCGGCACCAAAAGGGGGGGGCGACAAGGGTCGCGGGCATGGGAGGATGCAGAGGCGACTAACGGTCGCACGCACTTGTGCAGCGCTCGCGGGAGTGCGAGGAGGGGGTGGGGAAGAGCGCAGAGCGCGGGAGGCCGGCAGGAAGGGAAGGGCGACAAGGGTCGCGAGCCTGGGAGGACGCAGAGGCGACGAACGGTCGCATGTACTGGTGTGGAGTGGCAGATGCGGCGAAGGCGCAGGTGAGGCGCAGAAGCGACTAACGGTCGCATGTGCTGGTGTAAGCGGCGTGCGAGGGGCAAAGGGGGTCCGGAGGGGCGTCGCCGGGGAGGGGGCGCGCACCCCGCGGTGGGGCGTGCCGGAACCGCTGCGCTGCTGCTCCTGGTCGCGAGCTAGGAGCGGGGCAGGAGCTGCGGCCAAGCGTGGCCCCGCAGCTCAGGACCTGAGAGCGGGAGCGGGGTCTGCAATGGTGGCGCCCAAGCCCCCAGGGTGCCTATGGGGGGCGCGGCAGCAGGGGCGCACGTCCCGGGGTGGGCGAGCCGCGGCGTCGGCTGCCAAGAGATCTGGCGTGTGGACCCCAGACACAGGGGTCGGCTGCAGCGGGTTGTTTTTGCACGCGCAGCGCTCGGAATCAATGCAGTCCCCAGCCCGTGCTCGCAAGGCTCCAGACACACATCTGCATCCCTACGCGGGGCCCGTGCCAGATACAACGCGAAAAGCTGGCGACGGGCAGCTGGGAGTCCACGAAGGACACCCTGGCGCGCCCGAAGTGGCCGTGGCAGCCCAGCGTCCACAAGGACATCCAGTCGTCGCATCACTATTGAAACAGATGGAGGGGAGAAGGAAGAAAGCCGAGGAGGAGGAAAGGAGGAAGGAGCAGGAGAAAGAAGAACGAAGCAAGGACAATCACAGGAGTCCACGAAGGGCATCCCAGCGTCCACAGTCAGGTCGTGATAGCGTGGGGTCCACAGGGAACTCTGGGCGCCGCGTGCTCAAGAACAAGGAAACGAAGCGAGGGGGGAGAGGGGCGGGGGAGGAAGAAGGCGGTCAGGTCCGACTGCCTCGGCTCGTGGGCCGCGGCCTTGAACGAGTAGCCTGGCGAGCAGGCCGCGCCGCCCGGGAGGGTCGGGCGGCCCCAATCTGCGCGAGAGCGGCGCGCGCCTCGGGCGCAGAAGCCACATTCACCATGAAAGCTCTGCCTCGGCGCCGGCGCGCCGAGACGAGGCAGCAACGCGCGAGGGAGTGCCGCGCTGCGAAAAAGCAGCTCTAACATCGTCGACGGTGCTCTCGCATGAGACGCCCGCCGCGCCCAAGCTGCTATGCGGCAGGGCCGGCGGGGCGAGAACCCGAGCGTCGCGGGCCGCCCTGTCCGCTGCGAAATGAAACCTGGCAGCCCACGCCTGGCTCACCTTATAGCGCCCTCCAACGCGACACATCTTCGCGCTCCCCCCAGACGCGCTCAGGAAAGCATCGATGGCGTGGACCGTCTCGGCGTCGCTTCCGTGACCAACCCCTGCGGCTGAGCGAGGCCCAGGGGACCTGGGCACAGCAGAGGGTGGGCGACTGGCTCGTTCGGCGTCGGCGGCCGGCAACGCAGACGTCGCCACCCCAATTCCCGGGGAACGGCCGCGCGGCCCCGCTGGGCGCGGCGACGCGCGCGGCACTCGCGCGGCAGATGCCGGCGCGAGGCTTGCCTGGCCTCCAGGAGAGCGCCCGCGCCGCTGAAGAGGCGGCGCAACCGCCTCCCTCGCGCGCTGGTTGGCGAGCTCGACTGCAGCCAATAACCCCGCCGCGCCGTGGTCGAGGAGGGCGAGGCTCTGCGCCGGGAGGTTGTCAATCCCTCCTGGCGTCGGCTCCCAGGTAGTAGCAGCGTCAGGCGGCGGGCACAACCAGCTCACATCGTCGTCTGTCCAGCGAGGCGGTGCCGCGCGCAGCAATCCCGCCGCGCGCGCGCCGCTAGGAGGCAGGACGTCCCCGTTGATGACGACCCGCACGAAATCATCTCCAGCGTCAGTTGTGGTAAGCGCTACCCATGACCTGCAGTCTGGCACACGGCGCAGAAACAAGTACTCATCCCAGGCATCAGGGCAGACCTGGATGTGGACAAAATCGGGCAGGACTTGGAGGACGAGCTCCATGGGTGTCTCCGGATTCCCAGTTAGCAGATCGAGACAATAATCCCATCTGAGACGTCGCAGGCGCGCCTGTCCTGAAGCTCCGGGCGACGAAGCCGATGGCGGTCCTTGGAGCGGACCAGGAAAGAGCACCATCTACCGACAAGCCGCCCACGATGGACGTCAAAACCGCCTGTGCTTGATGAGGCCCCGGCAGGCCGCCAGTGATATTCGCGGTCGCGGGCTGCGTGCTGCCCTCCGCGCGCGAGGTGACTATCCTTGTGCCAGTGGATGCAGAGATGCGCTTGAACTTGATATTAGCTCCCTCAGTACCAATCAGGCGCCCGACGTCCCGGGGCGGCGCGGCCAGGCAGAGCGCGGCGCCAGAGTCAGAGCAGCTCGGGCCAGCGCCACTCGATGAAATCAGATCCGCAGGAGGGCGAAACGGAGGACGCTGCGCCGGCACGCTGGTGGCCCGGCGCAGAGTCCTAAGATGCCCCAGAGCTGGGCGCCGAGACAATTTTCGCTGCTGCTGA